TGCCCAAGCTCATTGCAGGACTTCTGACACATCAGCTGAAACAGGCCTCTGAATTGAGACAGAACTGACACCAAAGACGGCCTCATTGCCCAGCATGGGTGGAGAGAACTCTTCTCTGAGGCTGATTATACATCTCTTTTCCTGGGCCAAGAGGTTATGAGTACATACAGACTTTCCCCAGCAATTTACAGCAACCAGAAGACACATCTGGCCTGTGTGCTGTGTCCTCAGAGACAACTGAGCTCAGGGGAATGAAGGAAGAGGCTAGCACTCCTGAAATCAAAGAGGTCCTGTTTCTGCACTGACTGTTAGTAGCAGAGATGGGGAATCAGAGCAATTAGATCTTTGCTGACTAAGGCTATGCCCTAGGTGCCAGGGAGGAAAATCACAGTCATGCAGGTAGCTGCCAGTCTCCGCAGTAGACCAAGGTAGTGATTTACAACCAGGTACATTGAACAGCACCTATGCTATGAACTGACCTATTGCCAAGTAGAGGGCTTTGGATGTCTAGAACATGTTTTCTTGCCTTTTCCTTCCCTTTAATTCACCTACTCCCCCCCATTACAGCCACCTACCTGTGCACAGGTGATGCCATCCTTTACCACCATCAACATCAACAACATCATGCACTGGCCTGCAGAGATCGAAGATGATGAGGATGAAGACCCTGGTTCCCCATGCTTGGAGGGAAAGGAATGTGAGCGGTTCTTCTGCTGCATTGAGGACTGTCAGACAGGAATGTGGCGGGAGGGGAGGGTTCGTATTCACATCTCCCGCCTGGACTCCTACTCTCGTGTATTTTTCCCCACCGCCTTCCTGCTCTTCAACATTGTCTACTGGATTGCCTATCTCTATCTCTAGCTGTTCTTTGTCATCAGCTGGAATGGACTGGAGACCAGCAAGATGGGCTTCTCAAGGAGCATAGAGAACATCTCTTCCATTGTAGTAGATTGTCAGTCTGAACAATCCAACCTGGTGATTCCCTCTTCCTGCTCTCATCTCTTCTGAGAAGAACAGACAGCATTTTTTTAGCCTTCTAACATATGTTTTTAGAGAATCTACCCTTCCCCAAGAACCCTTTCTCCAGCACCACCAGCATTTTACTCCTTGTAAAATTGCCCCCCAAACATCCTGTTCCCATGTCAAAAATTAGGGATTTTGTCAAAAGCAAAACCCTTAATTTGTTTAATTTTCCCATCCAACCCATGGGAAGTGATGGCAAATGGAGTTTTCTGTATTGTTATTAAGACTGCAAAGGAAATAAAATAGATCTTACAGCTTCTGCACCACTTCCTCCAGAACAGACTTTGTGAAGTACTAGAGGCTTGGGAAGGTCAGAAGGAAAGAAGTGTCTAAGAAGGCAGCAGTACAGCTTTTCCACAGTGGCTGAGCTTGGCTAAAATGTTTTGAACCTGCCCAGAAAGCTGACAGTGACACTTACTTGGATGGAGCGGCTGCAAGCCTCCCCCTAGAATGTCGCATTCCTCATGGATCACTCCACTTGTTGTACCAAGTGGCACCCAAGGCATCCACCCACTGAGGAGTTGCTGATTCTCATCAGATGGTGGTAAAAAGCGCTTCACAAGTTTGAAGGGCCCATCTGCCTTACTGGTGGAGCAGACTCTTCATGGCACAGAGTGACATTCTGCTTTGTGATCAGGACTCTGAGCACGCTATGCAGCTTACCTTGGGCAGAGCCAGAAGAGGGAGAAAGTCCTTATGCTAAAAAGACCAGAACTAGCCTTGTGAGTCTGTTGTGACGTAGCTTTCTTTGGCCTGTTTCATGTGAACTAGGCCTTATTGCACCATGTGTCATAGAAGGGCAGTGCTCTCCTTCACAACAACACTGGTTGAAACCATCAGATCCCTGCTTGGTAGTAGCTGCTAACCTGAGAAAGGGGTAATAGAAAAGAGAATCTGATCTGCTACCAGTACTGCACCTACCAGTGGTGGGGAGAGAGCGTTCCTGCAGCTCCAATGTGTTTTCTTATGTCTGTTTTGGTTTTTCCATAAATACATAAAAAAACAGACCACTAAACTGAATGGCTCTTCCCAGACACATCAATACTTGGCCATTTTCTTTCTAAAATCAGGAAATGGAGCAAGTCACCCTGGTAGATTTCAGGAAGGTCATAGTGAGATGGTTCCTTATGGTCCATCAATGAAGGGATAGAGAAATGTGTAACACTATCTCAACTGGGAAGAAACTGCATAATGTAAAAGAGGAAACTCAGGCCCAAGGTCCATAATGTGTAAATCGGCTCCCCCCCCATTTATAGCAACTGCTGATGTGGGCCACAGCATGACCGAGAAGCAATGTGCCATTAATAGTTAGTGTGTAAATTACAAACAAAACACCCTTTTTAAAACCATCAGGCTTTAGAAACGACTAGTACTTCAAAGGCTTGCCACAGGAAGAAAGCCAGCATGGCTGCAGAGACAAAGTTAGGAAGGGCTGGCTCACTGCACAGCTAACAGAGGCAGCAGGTTTTACATGTTCTTAGAGAGCAATTTGATCTGGTTTAAAGATGCATTTTGACACTTAAATGCGAGCTGGATAATGAAGTGTCATGTTTAATTCATTCATAAATACAGCCTTACCTTAGTTCCAGAAGAACAGGTAGAGCACCTAATTAAGTATACAGTAGTACAGCACTCTGCTAAGTATAACCTAATGGGGTCAGAGCAGCATAGCTCTGGAAGGGGAAACTGTGCCTGTCTAACCTGTTACAGTTCTTCTTTTAAAATACCAAGTAAGAGACAAAGGTTATCCAGAAGGATAATTTACTTAGCTGCTCCGACAGCTTTTGAAAGGATGAGAAGGAATTATGGCGGGTGGTTCTAACTAAGGAAATTGATTTAGCAAAAGAATTATTAAGGAGGTTCTAATTAGAGGAAATTAACTGAGGAGAGGGGGAAAAAGAATTGTTAAGGCGGCTCTAATTAGAGGAAATTAATGTTTTAGAGAGAAAGACACAGAGAGGGAGAAGTCTAAGAAAAGAATCAAAACCACTTCCAGACAAGAAGAGCTGCTGGGTGACAGCGCCGACTCCCAGCCAAGCGGGTTGATGCTCTGCTCCTGATAGCAAAGCTCTATTAGATGTAGCAACAGAAAAGCCTCCTATGACTCAACCACACACCAACAGGGAGCTGGATTAAACAGGGTCCTGTGATCTCTGCAGGGAGCCAAAAGGAAAGAGCATCCTAGATTAAAACTGGCTCACGTGACAGATGCTGAGTGAAGCGAGTCTTCACATGTCAGAAGGCAGCTGGTAGCATGTGTGTGGGACTTGGCACCCTGGTGGCAAACCAGGGCCTGTGCCAAATACAGTCATTAACAGAATGGTGGCATAAAAGGTGTGCAGGCAATGCAGGCTGCAGGGCACAGGCAGCAAAACGTGGAACGGGAGCAGCTGAGAAAGGGATGAAGGAAGGGAAAATTTAACATCCATGTGCAAAGGAGTCCAAACATCTGCAATTCACTGTAGCTCTGAAGCACCTGAGAGGCTTGAAGGACACAGATGATCATCATGGGGACCAGAGGACAGACTTCAGCAGCTTGTTGAAATTAGGCCTTTTAGAGAATCAGCCAGGAGAGGAGCAGGTTGTATGAGAGCCCTAAAAGGATGACGGGGACTTGGGCAAAGTAGACTTGAAAAATCATAAGATTTCACCAAAAAAAAAGATAAAGCCAACACACACCTAGGTAATTTAACCAATGATGGAGGATTTGACAGAGGAAAATAGTGTAGTGTGGGTGGGAGCACAAGGAAGCTGATTACTAAGCCTGGGGAAGGAGGAGGGAGGGGGCTTTATGGCTTAGGGAAATCTGTGCCCATCATAAATAGCTCAATAAATAAAGGCATGCACAAATCCATCATGGTTTTAAGTTTCTACAGTATCTCAAAAAAAGGAAAGTTAAGAAAAGCCAGAAAGAAAAATCCACCATTTTGGGGGGAATTACTTTGCAAAGTCCAGGCTCCTCAAAAAAAGGTTTCCCTGCTTATAGCAGGGAATCCAGGGTACAGAGACATCCAGTAGCGGTGTGTGGCCCTGCACAGCAGGGCAGTGGGAGCTGAGCCCATTGATCCCCTCCTAGACCGGCACAGACCACTTGCCTTTCCCAACATGTTGTCTTTTCTGCCATCACACTGGAGTGGGTTGTGGACCTATTTCAGATATGACAAGTTTCCTTGCTGGTGGCCAGAGAGTGCCTGATGCTGGCTATCGTGGCTGATCCTGTAGCAGAAGAACACACATCCCAAGTAAGTTAGTGAACTTTGCTGTGTGGTCAGTTCCACTTCTTGCTGGACAATCATCTCTACAGCTTCCAGGATGAAGTGGATAATGAACTCATCTGCCACATCTGCCTTTAGGCTCTGCTATGGACACCCCCTTGGACATACGCACTGTTTCAAATGCCTTGAAAACTTCATGCAGGAGTATAATTTTTTTTCCTGCAGATTGGAAAAATCTCTTTCCAGCTTTCTAGTATGAATCCTGTTGGATAAGCTGATTGTCTTCTGTCCTTTCGAGGCAGAGTGTCAGTCAATGAAGAGGTGTGAACTAGAAGCTCAAGTGCAGAAGAATTAGTTGTCCTGGTTTCAAGAAATACAAATCTGAATGACAGTGGAAAAAGAATCCCATTTCCAAAGGGAATAAACACCCCTTACCAAGATGGAGACAAACGCACCCAAAGATCCAGAGGTACCAAGTGAAGGATCATCACTTGTGGCAGAAAATTGCAGAGCCTGGACTGGTTAATCTAGCTTTTAAGGAGATTGAAGAAGACCTTCCCCAGAGAGGATGGATCTGGACAGACTGGATCAATAGGGGAGGCCAATTGCATGAGATTCAACAAGGCAAAGTGCTGGGTCCTGCTCTTGGATCGCAACAACCCCATGCAAGGCTACAGGCTTGGGGCAGCATGCCTGGAAAGGTGCTCAGTACAAAAGGACCTGGGGGTGTTTGTCAGCCACCAGCTGAACATGAGCCAGCCTGTGCCCAGGTGGCCAAGAAGCCACCAGCATCCTGGCCTGTATCAGCACCAGTGTGGCAGCAGGGCCAGGGCAGTGACTGTGCCCCTGCACTGGGCACTGGTGAGGCTGCACCTCGAATCCTGTGTTCAGTTCTGGGCCCCTCACTACAAGAGAAACACTGAGGTGCTGAAGTGGGGCCAGAGGAGATCAAAGAAGCTGATGAAGTGTCTGGAGCACAAGCCTTATGAGGAGCAGCTGAGGGACCTGGGGGTGTATAGTCTGGAGAAAAGGAGGCTGAGGAAAGACCTTATTGCTCTCTATAATTGCCTGAAAGGAGGATGTTGCAACAGGACAAGAGGAAAGGGCCTCAAGTTGTGCCAGGGGAGGTTTAAATTAGATATCAGGAAAAATTTCTTCACTAAAGGGTTATGAAGCCCTGGAACAGCCAGCCCAGGGCAGTGGCTGAATTACCATTCCTGGAGGTATCTAAAAGACGTGTAGATGGGGCACTTGGGGTGGTGGTTTAGTGGTGAATTTGACAGTGTTTGGTTTACAGTTGGACTGGATGATCTTAAGGGTCTTTTCTAACCTAAATGATTCAATGATTACATCTAGGTAATGATGGGGACTGGAAATTATGACTTCAGCATTTATGTTTTATAGGGTTTTTTTGGAAGACGCAAGAAAGGAAAAACATTGATTTCTCATTTCTTTGTCTCCAATTCCTATCTTCCCCCCCCAGATTATGCTGTGTAAGGGACCATTTTTAGACTGTATGCTCTTCAGGGCAGGGGCTCTCTTATTGTGTGTTTGTACAGGGACTAGTACACTAGGGCTTGATCCTTAACTGAGATTTCTGGATGCTACTTATAGATAATAAACAACAGTATGGACTACCTGTCTTAACCCCATGTCTATCCCCATCTAAGAAGGCTAAAAATTGTCCCCCCTCATGCCTGCCCCGATGGGGTTACTGTGGCTGGTTAATATTTTTATTTCCTCTGAAAAAATATCTTGTCAGAAAGTGGGGAAGAATGGTATTTTTGGGGTGCGTGGGGGAAGTTTTTTAGGGAAGGCAGAAGTGGCTTCAAATCAACACTGCTCCAAAGGAGTCCCTATCATTTAAAATCATTGTTTCTAAGGCAAGAGGAGCCCTTGCTTGGCCCTCAGTCTGTTGCCATTGTAAAGAAAACACCCATGTGTTTTGGGGTGGTGATATTAATATTTGGAGACTTCATTCTGGCCTTTCTTCTCCCCATAGTAATGCTGGTGACTTTTGGCGTGATCATAACCAAAAGGACAACCCCAGCTCTGAAGAAGGTCTCCCTCAATTTCAGCGTCATGCCCTCAAACTGCATGGAAAAGTGAAGGGCAGCAGTGCCTGCACAGCTGCTGAATCCAGCCCTAAGCCCACATGGCCACCATGTATGTGACACTTTGAGAAGCGTTCATTAGTCATGCCTGATGTGATATAGAAATTAACTCAGGAGAGAGACAAAACATCTCTCCTTCAGCCGCCGCTCCCTCAAGCCTTGAAACTCATTAAAATCTCCCCGAAACATCCCATTTACCAAAGGAAGAAGGAAAGAGAGCATTGATGCTAATGAAGGAGCCTCCTCCCAACCACTAAAACCCCCACAAGATCACCCTAACGCACACAGCATCGCACCAGTCCCGCCTGAGGAGGCCTCACTGACAACATAGAGCAGGGCTGAGCCACCTCCAAGAATTATTTCCTCTCATTAATCTTTCTTTCGGGGCTAGTTCTATGTGTTTCGGTCACCCCTGGTTCTCCGGACACATGAGGGCCCATGTCACTGACAGGTGCCCATCCCGGGTCAGCTTCAGCCATACAGGGTAGCAACAGACACCATCCCCCGTCACCATGGAAACCATTATGCCGGCGTTCAAACTAAAAAAACATCATTTTTCTATCATGATTTTTCCCCTCATTTCTTTCCCCGCTTTTGAATGCCCACAAGAGGTGTTATTCCTATGTGAGGCAAAGTGAGGGCAGGCGCTGGTTCCAAAGGAAGTCGTTACTTTTTATATTCCTAAAAATACATTCATTGTAATTTGTCTTCCACTTTAATGCCTCGGATTTATAGCCTTTGGGAAGATGGAATTAAAGGAAAATGAGCATGGCCAAAACTATTTCAAGCTCTGCACCACAGGGCAAGAGGTGAGACATAACCATTGTGCCCAGTGTGGTGGGGATGGCATCAGACTGGGTGAGGAAACCCCAGCACCCAGGGGAAATGCCTTATTGTCTGCAGAGCTTCAATAAAGAGCTGGGGGGGGGGGGGGGGGCAGAAAAAGCTGTGTTTGGGGTTATTTTTAAGGATTGTGCAAAAGAAAATTGACTCAGTTTTTCCATCAGAGGAATCTCAGGTCTTTCTGCTTGGGTTTTGTTGTTGTTGCTGATTCTTTAGATGGCTGCCTCACAGGATTTTACCCCTCCTTGTTCTTTTTCCTTCTTCCCATATCTTCCAAAAAAGTAAATAATCGAGTCCAGGCCTCATCTATCCCAACCACACTTCTGGTACCGTCTGAGCCCACATGACAATAAAACACTGCAGGATGGAAGAGAGCAACTGAAGCCTTAATAGTTGCTGTAAGCAGGTCGGCATAGCAACATCTCCAGAGAGAGCTCTCCATGGGGTCATTTCTATTCACTTTAAAGCCCACTTGGGCTGCTAGAGTGGTATAAAATGGACTCAGAAAGGCTGTTAATTAGGATTAGCAGCTTCAGGAACATCAAGCCACAGTGCTCCAAGCTGAGCCATTTATCTGAGAGAACTCAGGCCTCTTAACTGCCTTCTTGAACCGAGGCACAGGATACCATATGTCAAGGCAGATAGCTTCGAAATCAGATGGCAGAGCCACCCAGTCATCTATGAGAGAAGGTTCCTACCTCCAGCTGCTGAATGACACTGCAGTACCTCTTCTGCAATCAGATCGCCCTTTGCTGGACTCGAATGGTTGGCAGATCCAAGATGCACCAGCCAGCTGTACAGGAGCAGGGGAGAAGGCACAGACCCATCTTATCAATACAAGTTGCATGTGGTATGAAATCCACAGGGCATATGGTGGGTACCCCTGGGTGAGGTTTCCAGGTGATACATATCCCGTAACAGGTCTGTAGGGCTCCAGGAGGAAGCAACCACTGCAGACAAGAGATGACAGAAGAGATGGGTGTTAGCATGCTCTTTCAAGGCCAGTCACAGAACCCATGGAAAAACAAGGTAGTGACTTGCGTTTCACAGCTGCTGGGATATGGTTTTTATTCTATTGCCACAAGTTTCCTGCCCTTCATCAGTCTGCAGCATGAAAGGCTAAGGAAGGTGATAAATCCTTCATGTGTTGCGATAACACAAAAGCCAGCTTCACATTAGCTTCTGTCACACACGTGAGCAAAACAGGCTGCAGGGAAAGGCAGCACCATTGCCAGGCTGCCATTGGGCTGGTTTGCATCTCTTATGCTACTGACCCTGAAAAACCTCCTAAGACAATTTTCTGACACTTCCCCTTTCCAAATACCAGGTGAAACACAGATGCATCCCTCACATCATTCTGCTTCTCTTGGCATTTTCATCTGCCTGAATCAGAGCCGAGATGACAGCAAAACATCCCATCTATGAGCTTCCCTTCATACATCACTCTTCCTGAAGAAATACATTAGGCCTGGTCAAAGAAATACCTGCTGCAGCAATTCAGACAATCACACTACAATCTGCTTCTCAAGACCATGCAGTTGAGGGCTGCTGGTAGCCATGCTTTTAGCTGTGTCCATCATAAAAGGAAAAGTCTTTTACCATATGGACAGACGGACCAGGTTCAGGCAGATCTGAAATGAATTTTAAGGCAGAACTGTGCCTACGCTCTTCTCCCACGTTTGCCATAGAAACTCCCAGTAGCTTCAAAGAATATATATGGCAGCAAAGACTCACCAGGCCAGAAAAACAGAAATCCCTACCCAAGAGTTTACAGCACCTTGAATATGGTAGGGACCTGCTGTTGCCCTAGCCATGATGGAGATCTATTGCTCCTCTCCAGGAAATGTCCTTCACTAACCAACCCTTCTGTCACAGAGCTTCAGCCAGCCCCAGCAGCATCCAACAGAGATCAACAGCTCAAGTGAAGAAGTCAAGACAATGTGTGAGAAGAAAAGGCTGAAGAAAGAATTTATAAGTTAGATCTATCACACCTCAAAAGAATAAAAGAATATATACAGTGCTAGGTGACTAAACCTGTGAGTAAGACCATATGTCGGTGCTTTTGCCAAGCAGGTAGGATCATAGAACAGTTTGGGTTGGAAAGGACCTTTAAAGGTCATCTAGTCCAACCCCTCTGCAATGAGCAGGGACACCTTCTACTAGATCAGGTTGCTCAGAGCCCCATCCAAACTGACCTTGAACGTTTCAAGGGATAAGACTTCTACAGCCTTCCTGTGCAACCTGTGCCGGTGCTTCACCGCCCTCATCATAAAACATTTCTTCCTTGTATCTAGTCTGAATCTACCCTCTGTTAGTTTAAAACCATTACCCTTTGTCCTATTTTGATAATAAACCAAAAAGCAAAGGGAACCCCACAGCTCTTGTGGAACCATCTCAAAGTCCCTGCATGCCCCTCTGCCCAGCACCACTGGGTTATGAAAGCCTAACAGCCAAGTGGAGAAATATGCCGAGCTCATTTAGGCATTTCCCATTAGTTTTCCAAGATTTCTCAACATTCTGTTTCTCAATATATTCATCTGGCAGCAAACTGTAGCTGAGGGAAAAGCAACGCTCCCTGAGCCATGCAGAGAACACAAAGCGACAAAGCAAAATCATAACAGACAGGGAAATTTCTTGTGAGTCATCATCTTCCCTCTCGCTTTCCAACATTGCTGATAGGCCTGGGATTGTTCCATGCAGTCTGGAACCAGAAGGTACCTACTCCTGCTGCAGGCGTAAATCACTTCACTCCAGAGAAGAGAGGATTTTTAAACACAGCAAGACTTTTGCTTTCATTTTAAATTAAGTAAAGGAGAAAAACAGCAACTGCATCTTTGTAGCTCTCTACCTTGTACATGCTTTTCTGAGACTGATGGACCAGTTACAACAACTGCATGTAATAAAATAACTATCCTCTTCCCAAAACACTCCCCATCGTGCCCAACATGACACCCCCCCAAAAAAAAAACCCAGCCAAACAACAAACAAACCAACAAAAAACACCAACAAACCAAACAAAATAAACCATAGTGGATTCATCAAAGAGAACGCAATAGCAGTTGTGATCAGTGCAAAACCAGCCAGGCTGGCTACATAAACACAAAGTCAAATGAAAGGAAAACAGCCTAATGTCTGTAGAACAGAAAGCATGGTTTTGTCAGATCTTCAGATCCATATGTCCAAATTGCAAGACAGTGATTTTGCTGTATCCTACCACATATTTCAAATGACGGCTTCATCACCAACTTCCTCTGCTCAAAAAGAAGATGAAAACTTGCTCAAGGCTGATACATTTTAAAAGAACCATTTCTGATTTCTGTAGCCAAATTTTCAGAACAAATGCATTTGTCCTTGAGATAAGTTTTATTTGATCTGCATTGATATTCACAAAGTAACCCACTTCTCTCTGTCTGAAGAGACTGAAATGCTTGCTACAGAGACTTCACATAAGCCATTAATACATGTTGCTGGGTTTAGGGGTTATAGGGTTACTATTCCATGTGGACTGTAGGTAGCCAACATTTCTACAGTGTTTAGGACCTGAATTTAAATTCAGAACCAGTGCATATGTTTATATTAAGGGGAAACTGGGCAGGTTGAAACATAGGTCAGCATATTTTTAATAGTGGTTTTCTCAATGTGTTCTTCATCTTCCAGGGAACCTTAGAATTTGGTCTAAGGGGAGGTCCACACAGGGCCAGCATACATCATCTGAGGAAGATTTGCTCCTCCACCTCCTTAGTGCAAAGAGACTTCAGGCTTGTGTATGGGAGTTACTTGTTGGCTGCTACAGCTCCCCCAGTTATTACAGCCCTCAGTCTTCAAGAATTAGAACCAAGCAGATTTGACATTGGATTAATTTCAGTGATACATCCACGGGTTGGTGTGAACATCATTATCACACTCCATAACCTGAGACTGTATAGCCATAAAAAGCAGGACCACCAAGAACTGTCACCTCTGAAGCTGAGCTAGTAGCATAAAATGTTGTTCCACGCTACACAGTCTCATAACGAAGTTTTGATTGATCTGATACCATCACAGCTCACAGCTCCCCACCCTTCACTACCTAAAGCAATAGAAGCATCTTGTTCGGAACTCTTGGGATCCAGAAGTACAGAAAGCTTGAGTCCATATACAACATCTCACTGATGAAGATGTGTACAAAGCAGAGAGGCCCAGGCATGGCTCTCCAGAAAGGGAACTCCACGAGAATTCCAGCTTGTCCCTGGTGCCTGCCACCTTCTTTCTGTTCTGTGATTTATCAAATTTAAGCTACTGCCCTTGGAACTGGGAATCTTTATCAAGTGATGTGCAGAAACAGGAGGTTGCTTGCCCTCTTTGTTCCATAGGCCACATCCACACAAAACCCCACACTTTTTGCCACTAACTATATCCTTTAAAACCAGCTTTTACCTACTGATTGTGCAGGTTCCTCTCCAGGGAAGAGGTTGTGTCAGCAGCTCTTGATAACACAGCATCAGGAGAGACCTGTAGTGTTGCACATAATATTTGTTCAGGCTGGGGCACTGGACTGTATGGGACATGCTGGTTTCACCATCTTAGACCAGCCAGAGAGCCAGGAGTTCTACAGAGGGAAGCAACAGTGAATCAGCTTATAAGAGCAGAAACGGCTGATTTTTACATTAAGAAAAAGGAAGAGCAGAATAAGAGTTCAGAAGATGTTTTGCCCCCAAAGGCAGCTGATATATGCAAATAAGGCATCTGTTCTCACACAGAGTTCATGACTTTGGATGGAGAAAAAAACACAAACTCAATAATGTAAAACATACAGGAATGGAAACAGTTTCTCACTGTGATCAGATTTTAGGGCAAAGCCAGAGCTCTCCTCAGAAGATCAGACTCTTTGCAGGCTGCTTAAAACAGACTCTGTGAAGACAAAGCACAGGGACCTGACTTTCAAGACAGTAAAGAGCCTACTGACCCCAAGCTACCTTTACCAGCTTGCTGTAATATTTCCCAGTCCAGGAGAACAAGCCAGTGGCTCCTACCCAGTCTTACTGCATGAGGACAGTTGAGAGTTGTTCCAAAGGTCTCTGGTACCTGGGAGCAGGTCTTCTTTCCCAGGGATCATAGTACTCACCTGCACCGTACCCCAGGGGAAGTAACTTTATCCCTATGCTGTATTCAGATGTCCTGCTATAGATTAACCCCAAAGGGTCTAAACTGAAAAGGTATGTAGTCCAAGAATAACACTAGCCCCATCCTCCATACAAATGGCATCTAACGTCTCTGGGGCAGCCAGGTTACAGCCAAACCTTCCCTGAGCCCTGAGATGGGACAGGTTCCATAGCTGGACCTGCTCAGTGCCTACTTGCCTCATCCCAGGGACTGCTGCATTGTAAAGGCAGATTATTAAAGTGCTAAATTTATTTTAGCTATAACTGGGAAAAGTAATCACAGCAAATGCAACAGCTCATGAGGAATCAGAGTAGGATTAGACATTTATATGAATAAGAATAGCTTCTCCACTTCCACTTGCTGTGATAAAAATAATAAGAATCTCAGATTCCATGCTCCAGGGCAGAAACTTAATCTCTGAAGAAGGCGTTAGAAAGAAATTTCCTCTCCCAATAGTAGTCCCCAACTGTCCAGGCCACAGCATAGGTTTAGTAGTGTCTAGGAGCCACTGCTAGAGACAAAGCTGGCTGGAAGCCCATGGGCTTGCTCAGGAGGCGCTGCACCAGGGAGGGAGCGAGGTGGGTTGCAGTGCATCGGGCATAAGTGAAACAAGCCCATCACTCCCTTTCTTTTTGCATTCCCTTGCTAAGCCTCAGTCCCTGACAATCAGTGAGTTTCTGCACCAGGTCCCAGGGATCTCATTGCTTTTTTGGGTTTGTTTATGTGTAGAGCCCTTGCCTGCCTTGCCCCAGGCAATCTGAGCCGTTAAGCTATAATGGCCTTAGCCCCATCTGATTAATAAACTGGCTTGGGACTGCTGATCTCTGGACCATTAAACCTTTCCCCAGGGACTAGTCATTAATCCCCCAAAGAGTCATCCTAGATGAGGTTGTTGTTAGCCACACCAATCCTGTTTAAGGCATCAATTTGCAGCAGAAAGAAGCTGGGAAAGGGGGGGACAGTCTGCATTTCTCAGGCAGCACCATCTGTTCCCCGAGGTTACAGACAGCTACAGCAGCCTCTGTATGCCACAGCTTAGTATTTCCACCCAGGTGAGGGCTGTCACTGTGCAGCACAGACACCAAAGAGCAAGACAGTACTGCACCAGACATCTGGGGTACTAAACAGGACCAGGAGATAAAGCCAACATTTGTTTCCTTAATTGATGCCTTTGGCTGGGGCCAGAAGGCATCATAGCATACGGTTAGGGTAGGAGTATCTGCTGTATCAATTTCAGCAGAGATGTTTTCAAACAAGCATGTTTAGGACATGAACTACCCAGAGCATTATTACATATAGGCCTGAGCAAATGCCCTTGTTTTCTTAGCTTCTGATTGTAATCCCAATGACTTTATTATTAAAACAGTTCACATCTTCAGCCAGAAGACTGGATTTGCCTTAATGACAACTCTGGAAATGCAATGACACACATTTTGGCAACCCTGGCCATAGCCACCCCCTCACGCTTTCAGCCTCTTCCCCCATTGTCAGCACACTAATCCTGATTATCTCTCCTTAGCTCCTCTAGGAATTTTTTATATCCTTCAATCTCATTACCATGAGCCATACTTAGGGGCTTGAAGGAGGATGGTGGCAGATGCTGAACTGCACTCTCCAAACAGAACGCAGCATAGAAATCACATCTGCAAAACCACAGTCAAATGCTCCTGGATTTTCACCTAAAAACTCACAGCTGTTTTTCCCCTCCCCTGCCTCACCAAAGTTACAGCTTTTGAACTCTGGATTTTCTGTTTATGTGAGGTTTTGAACAAGTGGTGCATGTTGAAGATGAGGTTTTATAAAGATCAGGTCATATAAGGGCATTAGCTGGAACCAAGCTACATTTGTAGCTCCACATAGAGCAAACTGTGTCCTGATGTGGTTTATGCTACTGCATATTGAGCTGTTGTTAATAGTCTGCTGGAGCAACCACAGAAGGGATGGGAGTAAGGGATGATGCAAGTACACAACTTATGCTATGGACAACAGTTACCTTCTGCAGCTAGCTGTGTCGAGGACGGCTGCTGTTGAAGCCTCTTCTTCAGACAATGTTAGAGAAAATAGCTTCAAGTTTAAATTGGTAGCTTGACTTCACTGTGATGCTACTGCTCCTGCAGAGTGTCCAAACGAGGCAATGAGAGGGCAAACCCCTGGCAACTAGGACAGCTTGGAAGAGGACATCTCCACCCTCTGCCAAAGAGCTGGTCAGTGCTATGCTCATTAGACTCCCCATGTGTCGGTGCCACTGCTGCTTTGTGTCTCTGTGCTTCTGCTGGCAGCTGTAATTTAGAAATGACCATACCAGTTCTGTGTGAGACTTCTTGTACCATTAAATATGTCTTACAAGCAAAACTTTTACACGTTCTCATCAGATATCCTGCTTCTTTACTACTAGCACAGTGCATGGCTTGCATGAGTCCATCACCAGATTAATGTGAACATGAGTCCAGAAATCATTTTGGCTTTAGCAATGGCTTGGCTGATGTTGAACACACCAAGTTATAGCCAACAACGTGCGGACTCCATGGGGAGTGGGGGAAAAAGAAACCAGCGACACACACATGAAAAACCCATCACTCAAGCTCCTTTTAAATGATTAATGCAGTGCACAGGGAAAGGCTTTTCAGCTTTCAAATCTTCACACGATTATATAAACTTAACTCATCCCAGCTACCGAGGACTTGTGTTTGTTTGTGGGCACTAATAGCTGCTGCAGTGTTATAGTTAGAGCAGAGAATGAGGAGTCCCATGGGGAAATGGAGGAAAGCCCACATTGCCCAAGTCATTTAAACATTCGGGGAGATAAAACACTGCAGAGAAGTTCTGGAGGGAGCAGTGCTTGGGGGACGGAGGGGTTACAGCCACCACAAGTTTCTGCCTCTCTTGGGTCCATACCATTGATAATGGTTATTAATTATTTAGGATGCTACAGTAATAATTACTGCAATAACCATCTCAGCTGTTGGAATAGCCCCTTCCAACCCCTGGAGATCTTACAGGAGCTCACACGTTCCCATGCAGTCTCTTGACACACTGCCTGTGGTCTTAGACTCCCTATTGTACCTTTGAGAAAGCCAAGCGTGGTGGCACCAGCACGGAGAAAGGACCACACCAGCCAGGGTCCAACTGCCCTCCAGGTGAATGAACAAGGGCCTAGGGTGAAGGGTGACGGGAGCTGCTCCCACACTGGATGGTAGCGGAGAGAGCATGGTTTGGATGCTCTGGCTTTCCTGGGAAGACCCACTGGGTGCCAGCACAGAGTGGGGAAGAACCCTAAGGGCCTATTAAATCAAAGCTTCTCTGGGCATGATGGGGAGCTGTGGTGTGATCCTGCTGGCCCTGTTCCTCAGACCCCTCTTGGACACCTGTCAAAGAACTTGCATGTGACCCCAAATTCATCCCCAGAGAATAATCATCCCCCATTTTTGTGCTGGTGACTCTCACAGCATGCCTCAGGAGTGCTCGGATTTGCAGTGATTTCTCACTCTGTCCTCCCTGGCTGTGAGCACCATGAGCTAAGAGACACCTGAGCACTGAGGATGTTGTACTGATGCCAGAGGTTTTGCTTCATCTCAGGGCCCTGTAAGCAACTACGTTACTCAGCAATATAGTTACTGGTCACTTCCCATCCACAGCCTTCCACCTCCATCCACCCATTAGGTGGGCCCAGAGGATGGGAATTTCCCCACTCCCTCTCAGCCCCTTTCCTTCCCATCATATCAAGTGGCACCTCACATATAAGGACTTAACTCAGCCAAAAATTAACATGCATTACAAAATCCTGACAAAAACCCATCTGACCCACACCATCAAACAAGTAACTCTGAAAACCAAGAATTATCTCTCCCTCACATCCAGCCTCTCCTTCCTCCCCCAGGCAAGTCCCAACTGCTGCTCACAGCATCCACAGTGCAACCCATGCTGCCGCATCACCCAGCCTCCCGGGGGCTGGCGTAATGGGGAAGTGTCAGAGATTAGAGACAAGAGAGCAGCGACTGCAATATAAAAGCAAACTGAATAATTAAAGAGAGAAGCTGCTCCTCACAGAGAACAAAATGAAAGAGTTGTGTGATTTGAGCAGAAGTGACCTTTACACTTCATTACAAGGAGGTGGCGTCCTCATAGGGTTATTAATATTTCCAGCTGAATTAGCTTGGGTTAAAAATGGCTCAAAGGAATGAAGAGGGAGAGGGAGTGTGTGCACAGAAATATATCATCCTGTCTTTTCTCCTCCTCTTTGCATTTAACCTTCTTTGTAACTTGTTGACTTGAAAGCAGAAGGACTGAGTGGCTAACAGGAACAAGGCTTCACTAGAAAGGGTGAGAGCTGGAGGATGACCTGGCCAAGAGATCTTCCCTCCTCGCTGGCTGTGCTTCAGCAAGAAGCCTGTGTGATGCCTTTGTGGCTCTTTCTCTGTGTTCTCATCTAGGGCACAGAGCACGTCTTCATTCACCAAGCTGCAAACACATCACGGGACTGATGTTCAGGTGGTTTTAAGACAGCAGTGGAGCTCAGTGCTGCTGCTGTTCAGACCATATGGAGTCCTTAGGATCTCTTAGGGCACTGCAAGTCTCCCATGTGGTCTCCCATGCAGTCTCATGATTATTGTTCATCTCCCCTGGGCTGACTGATTCTACTTCCCGTTCACCACAAAACATCTTCCTTGTCTCATCAGTGGGGAAATGGACAACTCTGCTCAGCAAGCTTTACCCCAACAAACTGTGAGGACATTTAGACCCTGAAACAAGGGACACACGTTAATCTCCCCCCCCCCCCCCCCCCAAATGCAGACAAAGCCAAGGTCTTCACTAAGATTATTTTAGCAGAGGACAGATGATAAACATGCCACAGCCAGCAGAGCTGTTTTGATGCTGTACCTTCATACACACACTGTTTTCTCCCAAAGTGCACACAGAAAAGGACCTTTACTTCAGTGTGTCCCAGCATACACGAGCCCACACAGCCTTACAAAAGCATGACTGTCAATAATGTGTCAAAGCACTGGGTGAACTAAACAAGCAAAGCTGAACTTGGGGATCTGAACCTAAATCCAAGCTGCAATTTTTCTGCTAAGAGCCTCGAGGTGTACACGGTTCTACTTTTTGCTCAGATCACTCAGTCTCATAGGAGTCCCACCAGTGACTTTGCAGATGCAAAAGGGCTTCTACCTTGATAACACAACCAGGTACCTGGTTGCTTCTCCCCAAATCTTACCTAAACACTTTCTTTCAGTGCCTCTCTCTGACCAGCAGTAACAGACACCAGGAAAACCCACCCTAAGAAAGAAAAAGAAGGAAACGTGAAGGCAGGTACACATCCATAAGGAATGAGGCTGCTGTGGTGGAGCCTGCAATCAGTCTCATGGGCTGCATCATCATGGGCTGCATCATCATGGGCTGCATCCCTGGAGGCACAGCAGCTCACCTCCCTCTGCTCCACTTGTGGAGGGGTTCTTGCAAATTTAATGCAAAGCCCCAAATTAAAAAGAGAGTTTAAGCTTTTGAAGCAATCATGAAATGGACACAGGGGCAGATGCTGCTTCTCTAGTGACTGCTGACTCACAGCCCCTCACTTATTTATAGGCCTCCCCAGGGTGCTTGTAGCCGAGTTGATGACAAATGCCAATGAACATCTACTCTCACTCCCACGAGGTGTTGCTATCCTGGCTGTAATGAAGATGCAGAACAATGAAACACATCATCAGCTGTGCCAGACAGTTGTAGTGGAGGCAGAAAGAGGACCTGAGACACTGACCAGCTCCTCCAGCATCGTCTGAGCATTGCTCCTAGCAAATGCACAGGTTCCAGTCTCTCACCCTACAAGATGAAGTTGATGTCTATTACTAAGACCACAGTTTTTGATGCTGTCTTCACTCTGACAAAAGGCTATGCTCTTATGACCAGAGAAAACAAGACATTGACACACAAAGCCAAGGACTTACCTGAGTTTGAACTGAGCAGGGAAACATCCCAGGGATGGAGGCCAAGATGCTGATGTTCCAGATGGAGGAGCCGGAGATACTGAGACCCAAAGAACAGCCAAAGTTTTCCCCGTTTTGCTGGAGACTATTGCACACAGGCCAGACTGTGAACAGTTCTGAGGGCAAGAAGGAGAAAATTTAGTCTTAGTCTGGCTTTGGTGCTAGAAGAACTCATGAATGTGAAGGATGAGGAAGGCTGGGTCGGGGAGGTACGAATACCTTCCAGGGACAGTGAAGGTAACCTGTACTATCCTTCTGTCCATAAGAGCATCCCTCACAGGTAATCTCTGTCTGGGCTGTCCTCCAGAAGGAAGAGACAATTTCCCTTACTGTAGTGCCAGGGAGCTCTCTCTGGGTGCATCCTCAAACTCTGGTGCTGTACAGCTGGTAAAGGCAGGAGTCAGACAGCGGGATCACCGTTATCAGCGATGATTCACAGGCCATAGAGATCACAGCTTGCCTGGTAGATGTCACTGCGACCTGGCAGTCAAGGGAAAACATTTATAAACTGGGGTGAGTTACAACTGCTGAGGTATAGCCCACATGGGACCTGCTGCCTGCTCTGTGGAACAGAATGACTCTTTAAATGATAGATGAGGCTACAGGACCCTTCCACAGGGCTCATTAGGTGGGAAAGGGCTACCTGGTCATGGTGTGCAGAGCCCTTTCTCTTACTCACTAGCAGACCAGGGCTGGGCCTCTCTTCCAAAGGCTTCCTGGTGCTGGCTGACACTGTCCTGCTGTGGCTGGGTTCTTATTCCAAGTCATCACTCACACATTAAATCTGAAGCGGCTGTTTGGTCTAGACATGTTTTTCACACTGAGAAAGCAATGGGTTTTACAGGAAACACCCATGGACAAATCCAGATGGACCCAGGAAGGCACTGAGGGGCTCTGCGAGGGAAGATTGGATCCTGTGGCGTTGTCTCCAGGATGAAAATATTTGAGGTCTGGTTTAGGGTTGAGCTTGCAGCGAGGCCAACAAGACTCCTGATAAAGTCTCTCCCCTGACTCTTCAGTTCCATGATGTCTTTAAGTATGCGGTTCCAAATTTAGGTGGAATTAGTTGACGGCACAATGTGTTATTGAAGCAGGTGGAGTCAGGTAGGCAGAAAGGTCATCTACGTTTTGTTTGCTTTGTTTCAACTTTCTTTAGCCAGACCCGTGACCCATCTGAAAGGACTCGAGGTAGCAGCAGTCCCCAGCAGCTGGCTGAAATCCACTGGGAAACACAGCTATGGAGCAGTGGAGAGAAAAATGGAGGGAAGGGTTAGGAAGAGGAGACAGGAAGAGACCCCTTGTTCATCTCAACAAACAAGTCCCACTTTAACTCCGCTAACACAGAAAACAGGAGCAGCAGTAGCTCATCATCTGAAGACTGTGACATGAAATTTATCTTTTTCCCTTGCTTTCACAGCAATTTTGCACTATGTTTGATAGCTGATGTGCATATCCAAATTCATGCAGCCCTACCATCCCTCTCTCTCCCTGCCTACTCGCTTTCACCCACGCTCCTTCCGCATGTGACTCAGGATGAAAAGGGATTTAGAAAGATGCAGGGAACGTTTACAAGCCTCCCACCATTTCGCCCTCAGCCTGGATGGCTGCATTAGAACCTCCAGTTTGCATTTAGAGGCCAAACTGGTCAGCATTTGGAATGAATCCCTGGGGCAGGCATTTCCTCTGTCTCCAGCACAGACAGGCACAGAGCAAAGCTGCCTTGGTGATTACTGTTGGCTGGAAGTTGCAAGGCTGGATTTGCTTTAGGACAAAGCAAGTTTCCTGACTTCTTGATGCCTTGTCCATAGGCTGCGTTGCAATATCCAAGAGTGGTCACTGCAGGAAACCTCCTGAATATGGTCCCCCAATACGGAGGTACCCTGGTCACACTAAGCAATGTAGGTGCATAAGAGACATCCAATCTGCCACATTTAAGAGAGCCATAGCCTGTCCCATTCAGGATCACCAGTAAAATCATAACTGTGTAAATGTCTGTGGCTGTTCTGGGCTGGCTGAATGAGGTGTGAATACTTGAGCCTCTGAACTCTCCAGCAAAACACCCAGTGCATGGGGGCACTGGTGCAGGTTCCACCAGCACAAAACTAGCAGCAAAAATTCCCCCAGCAGCAACTGTCAGGGACTGACAGGGGACAAGCAAACCAGGTTTGGGTGACAAACTAAAGCTATTCTCCCCCTTTAACACGGCTGCTGAGCAGCCATTTAGGGGAGAGCATCACCACTAACATCATCCTGTTTCTATGGAGACCAGATTAACAGAGTGGCTGGGAGAAGCTGCACTCCTAATCTCCCCCAGAGAAAAGAGCTTGCTGGTACAAGAGACTTTTAAACATCTTTAATCCAAACTCGAGGTTCTCCTTTCCATACTCGCTAATCCTGATAGAGGTTACCAGCCCCCTTTTAACCCTAGGGTTACTAGCTCCTTTTAATCCCTTTATGAGCACAGTGCAATAGCATCAAGCAGTGCAGTTACCCACAGCCTCTGCAGTCCTTTGCTAAAATTAAATCTTCCCCCTCTCTCTGCACAAGTTTGGCTGTCTAAAATATAACACTTAAATACCCCCACCCAGCATGTGCAACTGGCCTGCAAAGTGATGTCTGCATTGGTGCACTCAGCCTGCTTTCTGATGATGGATCTGGACACTGTGGATAGAGGTGGAGGCACTGCCTCCATCAACAAGAAGATCCAGCCACTGCTTTGTGTATTGTATTGCATTGTATTAATTTTCTTCCCCTGAGTTTTGCACCCCAGCTAAGAGCAATTGAGCACCCAATAGTTTGCCCAGTGGAACAGGTACACTGCAGTTGCAGTTTTACCTAAGGACTTGCTGATAATGAGTTCCACAAAACCATGTGTGACCACCGTCACTACAAAGAAGTTCCCTGCTACACCTGTAGTCTCTCCACCATGGCATGGGTATCCCATTCCATGTACACAGTAATGCAGCCTGGTGGGAACACAGCAGCAGGCAATCACCTACAGCCACCCTGCCTGGACCTCCTTGCTCTGTCTTGTCTATGGGAGGCTTTGTGGGCCTCAGACCAAGGCAAGGTCTGGCAGACTGGAGTCCGAAGCAGTCTCCAGCTTAAGAAGTGTAAACCTCTAACGAGAGGTCAGTGTTGGAATAGCAATGGCTCCTGGATTTGGACTGTGGATCTCAGCATGCATGGGCCAGGAAATCCTCCTTCCCAAGCCATAACCCTTCCCAGGGGAACATCCAGACCCCAAATATAATTCTACTTTGGGAGGCAGAGACACAGTTACCATGTTTTCTAATTCTAGCAGCCCTGCCAATTTAAATACAGCAGAAAGAGGTCTGCTTCCCCTCCACATCTTGGTGGCTTTGTCGGTCCTTTTCCTGACGGACAATTCACAACACCAAATACTTCAAGAGTTCTCCTCACCCTCCCTGCTCCAAGGCACTGCAGATGTGGCTCATATACTGCTCCAGCTGTGCTGAGCCATGTGGAACTGCTCTGGCTGCTGAGCTGAACAAGACACTGACTCTGCCTCTTTCCTGCTGCCTCTAGAGGTTAAAAAGCATTTCACTACTTGATTTTTCTTGCCTTTACACAAAAACCTTGTCAGGAGGCTCCTGACACAGCCTGTCAGTGCCAGAATGAGGCATTAGGAGGGGGTGTGACCAGGAAAGTTTAATTCAATCTCAATTTCATTCCTGCTCCCTTTGCCAGAGGAGTTGACGATGTTCTGCACATCTGGAGGCATAGTTACAGGTTTGCACAGCCTTGTCCCAGAGCGTTGAAGCTTGTAAGTCACCTGTACTACAAGGTCTCCTACAAGATCTCACCTAACTCAGCCCCGTGCACCTCCCCTGAGATCCTGCATATGCTGAGGTTTCTCTTCGCATACAATACACATCCAAGCCCAAAGCTCCCAAAAGCACAGCTCTCACAGGCACAACATGCCCCTGGAAAGGGCCAGGCCCCAGCACATCTGTGTTCTACAGCTGTGGCAATGAAGGGTTGTTTTCCTCTCCAGGCCCTGAAAGCACATCTCTGAAGCAGCAGGCTGCTCCTGATGAGCATCTCTGATTTCAGATGAGAGCTCTGCTGTGGGTTAGAGCTCTGCTGTGGGTTAGAGCTGGTGTGTGGGATAAGAGGGAGTAAAATTAAACACGGGATATTTTGGGACAGGGTTTACTGCATCTGTTTCCATGGTCCTCCTTTAACTCAAGGGTCCTTGCAGTTTAGTTCATGGCTGTGCATGGTGGCTAGAGTTCAGCCGAAGTAAAGCAAGGAGTAACTGAAAGCAGTGTGCTGCAGAGGCTGTATTTATAGCACCTGCACCTACAGATTATTATTATGCTTTATGGTTGGCCATATAATGGGCCCTTGAGCTCTGCCTCAGATCCACAGCCACCCTGTGTCACAAACCAAGCCTCTTTCATCTCAACATAGCCCCAGACTCCTCAGTCTCACCCCTGCAGCTGATGTCTCTGAACACACAATGGCCAGAACAGGAGAACGTTACTGTTGTTTCTGTGCAAACAGGTTGTCCTGTCATCACCAAGGCCATGTCTAGAGGCACAAAAGACCATAATCAAGGACTTCCAGGAAGAATGATCTGCATAGTAGTGTCTGCTGGAGCCAGCACCGCCTTGGATCTGCCCCTCAACCTGTCAGCCTGGGGCTGCGGAGGGAGCATGGTAGGGAAGGAGCTGGCCTGAGCACACCACACAGGCAGAGGAGATGGAAACTGCCTTCCTATCTACAGCTTCCAGGCACAGGCAGGCCTGCAGATGTGCTCAAGAAGGGCACTTTGGAAGTTTCCTCCCACCACTGGAAGCTCCCTTCCAGCTGGATGCTGGGGGACAGCAAGCAGGGACCAGCTTTGCTGACTCTGCCTCTGCTGTCTGGCCCGATGTGTCTTCAGCAGGGTCTGTCACGTTCCACCGCTCTGCCTTGTTTTTGCTGGCGGGCAAGAGCTCAGCAATGGACAGGGGACCGGGAGGAAGGAAACGGGAGGAAGAGGGGGCAGATGAGATAAAGAGGTAGTGTGAGGATAATGAAGGAAGACAGCTGGCCTAGAAACTCATGGCAAGACAAAAACTGGAACTAATGCCAAAGCGAGAGGTTCCTGCTGAGCCCAAGGAGAGTGGCACCAGCTCCTGCTGTGGCTCCGTGTTCCGATGGCCAGCACCCTTCATGCCAGCATGGTTTATAGCCAAGGAAAAGCAGATGGCTGAATGGCTTTTCCTATGAGCAGGACAGGTGTGGCTGTTCCATCTGCACTGCACTATGCTTGCAGCAGAGTCAACTGACATGGGCCATACCAAGCCTCTGAGTGCCCATGGGATGCAAACAGGGCTGCAGTGGGCCAGCAGGGATTTGTCTTGGCCTCTGTTCTCCAGTCTTTTCCTTCCATCGTCATTATCTTAGGTCCTCAACCCCACCAAAGGAGTTGGGCAAGAGTCTTAATACAGCACTAAACCCCACAGAGCTCTGGGGAAGCCAGAGGTGAGGGACTGCCACACTCTCAGCAGGTCTACATGAAGCACTGAAGCAATACACCAGTCACGGAAGCAACTGAGGCTAAAGGATTATTTATCATTCAGGCCCTCTGATGCACCACAGCACAAGAGGCTGGAACATATAAACCTCTTTGGTAGCAAAGAAACCATGAAGTGCACCCTACTGACCTGAACAGGATCTCACAGGAGGTCTGAGCCTGAGCAGAGAGGTGAGCCTGTGTCTCTCAGCTCACTGTTTCTCCTGCGCAAATGAGAACAGCACTGGTGTTTTCACAGATGGCATCAGCAAGTTAAGTCATTTCCCAAGGTCTCAAACAAAGATGGAGGGAAAGTTAGGAGGAAACATGGGACCAGGGAGCAGCCTGTGCCCTCCAGGCTGACAGAAGAAGCAGGGAATGGGATAGAGATGATAACTAACGCAGAAACCAGAGCATCGCTTTTATCACCTTCCAGCCACCCTGTCCACAGGCTTCTCCCCCCAGACAGGAAAAGCAGCTCAGGCTTAATCCTTCCCCACAGCTATTCACACCCTCCCTTCAGTACCTGGAGCCTGACCCGGAGAAGTGAAAACAGCCGCTACAAAGTCAAAGCTAAGTGGCAGCTTCCCATTTAACCACCTCTAATTGCCAGCTGAGCAGACTGTTAATCTCCGAGAGCGTGCTGCGATCCCGGTGTTGCCGAGTCCCTGTAATTGCTTAAGAGCTGCCATCGAGGATGCTGGGAATCAGGCAATTATTCTCCCTAGTTTCTTCCTCTCCCCCCCCCCCCCAGTTTTGTGAATTAGCCAAGAGCTTTTTTTTTGCCCCAAAACAGCCAGCACAGGATTTCTCAGCAGCTCAGTAGGGATGAAGAGATTAGATCTGGGCTGGCTAATCCTGTGTGGGCAGAGAGAACAAGAAGGAGGCATAGCAGTGGGGATCCCACTGTCAGCTGGGCTCACCATGGGGATAGGGGGTCACTGTAAAACCCTTCAGTATCACTGCTCTGGAAGTGAAGGGGAGGGAAGGTTGCACTCACAGGTGATGCCTCAAACAGAATTCATCCCAGCAAGCCAGTGCTGGCCCTGAGTACAAATCACATCCAATTTCCAGCTCCTCAATGGCTCTATTGAGTAATAAATCAGCTCTGTGTCCAAGCTGGCTGAAACACTCCTGCCTGCACAGTTGTCTTATTCAGTGCTGAGAAGCTGAAGTCTCCTTGCCAAGGCCATCAGGCTAGGGAGAGTCAACCATCCAAATCCCTTCAGATCCCAGCAGTAAAAAATGAAACAAAAACACATGAAAAGCCACAAGACAGAAAGAAAGTCCCTGAACTGCAGATCACCTGCACATGTCCATTTGTTCAGCTGGTTTTCTGCACTCTGGAAGAGATGATGCAGTGGTATTCAGTGAGTATGATCAGCTCCCAGCAAACAGCCAGGCCTCTGTCTAATTCAATGCTGATCAACACACGCAGGTAACAGGGCTCAGCTCCCAGCTCTTGGTAATCTTTGCAGCTATTTAAAGTCTAGTTTCCCCCCTGGACACTTCATGGCCATCCCTTAGATGCCACTTTTAGGTCCCAGCATAGCAAACTTCTTTGAACTGACCATACACACACCACTAGCATATATCCTAACCCAGCTGCAAGCTACAGCAACAGCAGCATCTCCATCACCTTACATATGTAAGCAGGTGTCTATCTCACAGCCCATCCCTCCCATTATTATTCCAGTCCTTGAAGACACCAGGTAGAATCAGTGCTATGCCAGCCTCTGCACTGTTTTAGTGTTGGAAACCTCTTAGCTAGGATGGGACAGGGAAGATAACACTGACCCCAGAATAAAAATGAACCCCATCCTATTTAAGGCAAGCTGGAAAACTCCCTGTGAGCTGAACCAACAGAGGCTGCAGGATCTCAGCAAGGGCAAAACCAGAGCAGAAATGGAGAAAAGATACCACAGTGCACCTGCAACTCAATGAATGCCAACGATGGTGTCACAGAGATCACTCAGCTCTGAGCTGGTAGTTAGCTTATTGAGTTCTAACCAGTAAATTCAGGTATGTAAAATATGTAAAAAGTACAGAGGGGTTGGCAGTCAATATCTACTACACTTTTAGTATAGGATACAAAGATAATCACTTAAACTTACTCTATGTATCTTACACATTGCATACATAAAAAGCAATGTCACTTACCAATGCATTGATGTCTGGTGTCAGGTAAGAGATGTCCCATCCTCAAGGGGTAGCCTTGGGAAGTATCTCTGCTCAAGGGGTTATCACCACTGTGCAGCTGGCTGCTGTGGATGGAGAGCTCAACAGACCCTGATGGCTGCAGATATTAATAGCGTGAAGTGATTGATTTTAGTCAGATTTTCTGCTGTGTTAACGCGGTTTTGGCCACTTATCAGCCCAGCCTCCAGCCAAACAGGGTTTCCTGGGGGGGGTTGGTGCTGAGTTCTCCCTGATAGCCCCACACAACAGGATTAACTTTGGTTAGGCCTCCTTGCCTGGACCAAAATTCAGTTAGTTCAAACAGGAGCAGCGCATCTGTCACACCACAGTCCTAAAGCCATTATCACAGCAAATCAAGTAAGATGCATTCAGTCACATGCCTGAACTCTAGCAGCATCAAAACATGCCCTATGGACACTGCCAGACCTTCTAGGCAGTGACTGGGGGAGGTTCACTGTGCCAGGGCTGGACTCTGTTCTTTCCCATCAGCCACCCCCCAAAGCAAAGCAGGGGCTCTGGGAAGAGCCGCTGCCCTGGGGATGGATCTGAAAGCGACCAGGGCTCATGGGCAGGCACAAGCACATCTCCATCTGCCTTCCATCTGTATGCAGCAGAGACAGCATCAAGTGATGGACCACAAACACAACACCAAGCGATAGCCTTCCTACAGGAGGACTTTGCGCTCACCCAGCAAAGCCTCTGTTTGCACCAAGAAAGCAACAGTCCTGGGTCTCCCCAGAAGCTCTCTGGAACAGGACAGAAACAGGAGAGCAAAGGTGCGGAGCACTCACATCGCAAAGAGCTGTCTTTACCCACAGAACACCCTTAATCTCTGCAACCTCCCCTGGCAGCCCTTTCCTCCCCCTGCATGCGCATGGTATCCACAGCACCCTAGGCTGCTCACTTCCACACCTGATGTAAGAGCTACAATTAAGCCTGACTCAGCAACTTCACGCCTAAAAAGCCGCAGGGCCAACCAGCCAAAATTAACTTCAGGGGAAGAGGGTAGAACAAGAAAGTGATAGCAGCCTGTCCTGTTCAACTCATTTGCCCAAAAGCTGGATTCTTTGCTCCTTCTGAGCTCTGCCTTGAAATAAAGATTACACCCTCTTGTTTTAGAGGCTCCTTCCCAGGGAGGTGGCAGGATGAGGCTCTGACAGACCAGGGCAGCCTCAGACTTGTGCCACCCTATTGCATCACCAGTGAGCTGAGGGGCATGCTGAGAGAATGCCAGCATTCCTTTACACTTACGCCAATACAGGAGCTAAGCACTCGTACAGGTGAAGGTCCCAGTCCTGTGGGTTTCTTTGTGGTCTATGCAGTAGTCTCAAGCTTCAGCTCCAAAGGAATCACATCCTGCACCAAGGGGCTGCTCAGGTTGATGCAGGAGCAGTGTTCTGCCTAAGGCGGAAAGACCACAGCGGGTTCCTATTGTACAAACACACAGCTGAGCCCAGCAGCAGCCGAGACATCAACCTGCATCCCTCAGCCCCCTTCTCCCACTGTCCTGCTGCTACCTCTACCCCAGAGGCTGCTGCATATCAGCACCGTTGCTCCTGGGCAAGGAGGAGAGCTGTGCTGGGGCCACAGCAATGCTCCCAAGAGCCCTCCCTGCTCTTCTGCTGCCTGGTCTTGCCACGTGGTTCTCTCATGCTCTTCCTTATGGATAATACACTTGACTGACCCACTGACCCTAGGGAGATCCACTAAGTCTTTGCACAGCTGCTCCTCGTGCAGAAGCCTTTGCATGGGGCACGGTTTAGGCCAGAGACCATATGTTCCAGCATGGGGGACAATGAGCCACTCACTGCGATTAGCATCGCTGTGATGAACCACTGTCGTGACTGATGGCACGAGCACTCTGAGGGAGTTAGGGGGTAGATGGATGATTTTCACAGCAAATAAGTCCTAATGAACAGAAAAATAACTTCCCATGATGCAGGATTTACCGAGTTACAACAGACATGTCTAGCCTTGCAAGGAAGGAAACACTTCATTGCAAGCCAGGCCATAGGGCTATACCTGGGGCTGAGAAAGTGAATCTTCCTGCTGGGTTTGGGAACAGGGGAACGAGCAATCCCTCCACATCTGGAGCAGTAGGAATAAAAGCACAGTGGGGAACCATGGAGCAGAACAGGCTCATAGGGGAGTGGGCTGGGGTCTGCAAGTCTGCCCAGGCGCTGCAGCATTCCCTGCGGCACAGTAATGAAGCAGCTCAACTGCATCCACCAGAGCACCCAGACCTCTCACAGAGGGGACACTGAGGCACAGAGAAATACAAAGCCAAGGAGGGATTTCTCCAGGGCTGGGGACCCCCGTGCTGGAAAGAAATAAACTTCAAAACTCAATATTGGGCTTTGTGCCTCACAGGGCAGCTCCCACAAGGAATCTCTGTTGTCTAAGATTGGCTTGAGCACATACTACAGCGTTCCTCATTGCATCAGAGGAAGCTTTGCCATGGGAACTGCTGCCGCCGAGCCACCTTATATTAGAAGTTACTACAGCTCTGCCAGGAAGCTTGCCCTGTGCTTTCTATTTTTAGCTGCAGGCAGACCTATTCATATCAGTCACTGCTGCAGCTCAGGTCCTTACGCACGGATTTGGTGCAGTAATTCAGGGGCATGAAGTCAGGTTGTCAGGTTTGAACACAGCTCAGCAAGATAAATAATAAACCTATGAGCTGAGTGCTCACAAGGCTGGGGGCGATGCATCGGAGGGCAGGGAGCAGGCTCCCATCACACACATTTATTCCACCGGATCACACCACTACTTACGTGCGGAGTGAGGCACAGGCTCGAATGTGATGTACCAGCTCAGGGCCATCAACTGCAAGGGAAGCAGGAGAAATGGGATGAGAGAGAGGAAAGGTCCTGCGGGAAGCATAAACAGCTTCCCAAGGCTCCGAACTGGGGGTTGTTTTCCTGCCTGTTAATTATTTCATCTTAAAATACTTTCAGAAGGGAAGTGCTTCCTTTGTGCTTAGCACAGGACAAGTAAAAAAGATGTCTCCTTTTACAGCTAGTCACTGGGAACATCAGAGTAAATCTCAGTTACCTGCAATAACTCAGAGTTATTGGAGCAAACCAATGCAGGACAAGGTACGCACGTTTGGTGATGGAGCTCCTAATCAGCCAGACCTCGATGTAACGATGCCTGGGTGTGGAGCTGGGCTCCTGCTTTGAAGGAAGTGAGAGAAGCCCCACGAAGGGGAAGGGGTGACACCAATGCTGACCCCAATATTAACAGTGGTGAATACTCTGTAGCTGCTTTGCAGCTGGTTACAAGATGTTGGTTACCAGTGTTCCTCTTTCTCTTCCCTAATGTCTTTCCAAGTGACAAACCAGAACATGTTAAGCACTCCCATGAGCTCTTAACTGTAACTCTGTACTTGGAGGAACTTAATTGAGAAACCTTTCGTCTGATTTGATTCAAATGTTGTAGAAAATACTATCTGGAGCTCTGCCCTATTTTGAAGCTGATCCAGGCTGTCTTTGTCATTACACTCCATGGCAGCTAAACTCAACATGACAGAGGAAACCTGAGTACATACTCACCCCAGTGAGAGCTCTTCCTCTCTTACAGCAGTGAGCTAGGAGGAGGACACCCACAACCAAAATCTGTCATTCCAGCTGACAGGCATTTCTATAGTTGATACCTTTGGATTTAATCCCACCAGTTCCCACATGAGGGGAACACCACATAGAACAGCTAACTGGGGTTCATCCCTCCTGGCTGCGATGCTAGATCTCTCCTGTCTGTAGCAAGCAAGAAGCCTGAGGCTCTTCTGCTACAGGTTGCTGCAGACAGAGAGGCGGCAGGAGGGTCTCCCATGCACAGTTAACCCAGTCCCCAGCCACTGCCCTTGCTCTCTCAGCATGGGACTTCCTGATGGCAGCCCCAGCCCTCCTGACCCGAGGTGTTAGCAGAGCAGATGGAACAAACGGACAAATGCTGCTTGTTCCATCCACATGTTTTCCAGGAGGAGCAGTGACAAGTTAATGGGCATAAAGAGCCCAAAACAACAAAGAGTGTGAGCATATTAAACCCTTTTCCATCCCCCATTTATGCTTCAGCTGCTACCTTGAGACTGGCATAGAAACCAACGTGCCGTTTGCTTCACGCAGCTCCTGGGACCTCCGTGGCACAGTTTCTGCTTGGGTAACTTAACTTCTGGAGGCCATTAGGCAGGGTAATTTCACCAGTTCCTAAGCAAATGCCTGGAGGGGTCTTTGCA